GCACGTGGAACATTTGCAAATAAAGATGGTCTTTTAAGATTATTTTGCAAATGAGAAACATTTTGAAACAATGTTGGTCTACTTGAAATATTTTGCGATTTAGAAACTTTTCGCAAATCAAAACAAAACTTAGCTAAGTGACCAACTCTACCACAAAAATCACAATGATACACATTAGCATGCTTATGATGAACAATGGGTGCATGTGTGTGTACATGTGATGAAGAAGAAGCCTTATGAGATGCACAAGAAGAATTAATATTCTTATGTTTTTGTGCATCATAGCAAAATTTAGCTAAATGACCTTTACGACCACAAATGGAGCACTTGTAAACTTTGCTATACAAGTGTGCATAGTGTGTAGGTGATTTTGTAGCACTAGATTTAGTACACTTGTTCATAAGTTTCTTATGGTTATCAATGCATGTTTTTAAAGTTGAATCTAAGCATGATATGCGTTCCTTAACAAGATTCAAATCATCATTATGCACAACATCATTGATAATAGAAGTAGAGCATGTATGGTTATCAAAATCATTTCTAATAGCTACTACTTCTAGCATGACATTATCTCTTTCATGAGTTAACTTAGCAAAGTTTGAAAGCAAAGAATCATGATCCAATTTTAATTTTTCATTGTTTTCTTTAAGGATCATATTTTCATTAGAAATAGTATCAAACTTAGAAGATAAAGACTCATGATCGGATTTCAAATTTACATGCTTGCTTTGTAAATCAATGAAATCATTTTGCAATTTCTTGTAGGCATGCAATAATTTATCACTAGCACAAGCAAGTTCATCATTAGGTAAATCATTAATGGTTTCGAACTCGCAAACCTCACTAGGGCTATCGCCTAGTGCGCGTGTGCATAATGCTCCATATGAACTTGAAGCGGGATCCTCCAAAGCTTGTCAGATCGCCTCCAAGTCTCCTTGATGTGCTTTAATAAATTTCCATAAGGTGTAAGCACTATCAAAAGAATCAAGCTTGTTAGACATAAATGAATCAAATGCATTTAATAAAAATTCTAACATAAGCTTGTTCATAATAAACATCTTTTTATTATGTTTGCTCCACTTGGATTTCTCCAACGTGGGCACAATATAAGCACAATCAATGATTTCCCATAAATCGATATTTTTAGATTGAACAAATATTTTGAATCTAAAACACCATTGAGCATAAGAGAAAACATTGAATTTAGGAGCAACACTAGAATCATAGCCTAAACAAGATGCATCATTCATATCCATAATTTGTAAAAATATGCAAGCAAGATACAAATGCAATCAAAACAAGATTAGCACAAAAAGATAACTTGGATCTTTAACTCAAGGCGATTAGACCTTAAATCAAAGAGCACCAAGCTCTGATACCAATTGTTAGACCCTAGAGGGGGGGTGATTAGGGTCTTATGCTAATCTAAATCCGCATTATATACCAATTAAATCTAATTAACAAGTTATCCTAGCAATATGAAATCAACAATATATATTAGCTAGGATAAGCAATATAAACAACAAGATATATATCCTATATGATTTAAAATATATAAAAGTAAGATATATAAACTAACACAAGGGGTAAACAAACTAAACAAGATAGTGGATGAGATAAATGAGCAAAGCCACAAATGGCGATATAAGATGAATGCAAAAATAAATACGCCAAAGCACACTCAAACACAATCAAATGATCACGGAGTTCGGACCTTCCGTTCCTACGTCTCTTCTCCCACTCCCGGGAGAAATCCACTATCACAACCGGGTTTTCTACACTCACCCGAATAATGTTTACAACCTCACAGTGTCGGTTTTTACGCTCACCGATCAACGTCACTCCTCACAATCGGTTTTCTAGTCACCGAAAACTTCACAACACACTCGGTTTTCTAGCTCACGCAAAACCTTACAAACACTCACAATGTAACAATAAATAATTTGTTCTCTCATACAACGGAGAACTCAATTAAGCACAACTCAATGTTACAATCTCTCACAACCCTAATATACTATGTATGCAAATACTTTAAGCTCAAAGTGGGTGTGTGTAACAATGAGTGAAATCAGAATCAAACTAAAACTCAATATAAAATCTAGCTTAAGACAATGATAATCAAACAAGTATATAAATGTAAGCTAAGTTTGAGTTTAGAAGAACTTTCTCAATGGAAGACAAGATGGAGAGATGGAGATTGGAGCCCAAACAGAAGATGATCTCCTCCACTTGTGAAAACTTCTTCACAAACAAACAAACCCTTAAACACACTTTAAACCCTTGTTTAAAATCTTTGTTTAAAAACTCTTAATTACTTGAAAGAGAGCAGCAATTAGGGTATTTATACCCACTCTAAATCTCAGTCAAAACCCTTAACAAAAGATAAAAAACAGCCCCAGCAAACAGCTCAGGAAATAGCCGCTTGGAAAAGCAACGGATCTATGTCTCGGTCGACCGGAATTTTATCGACTCGACGATGGAGAGCAAATACACGAAGACCAGCTCTGGACAATCGTCGGTCGACTGGTGCGGTCCGACGATGGAGCTTTCGGTCGACGCGACCGTCGACGCACCAACTCTCTGTCGCCAGTGATGAAAGATCAAATGATCGGTTCGACCGGTGCGGTCGACCGAAAACTGACATATGAAAATCTGATTTGCTAATTTTAAATACTGTTTAAAATATTCAAATAAATTCCAAAAAATTAAAACTTTGGGGAATGATTATAGACATGATAATAAACATGCTACAGCACTGGTTATCAGAAAGGACCTCCCAAATGAAAAATATATCATTTTACAAAATAGTCCAAAACATGAAAAATATGAGATACTTGAATTTTGATGTTTTGACAATAACAACTTTGAAACTTTATGAAATGTTTTTATAGACTTAGTAAAACATGTATAAACTGATATTGAAGTCTACAAACTAAGAATACAATATTTTTACAAAATTGCATATTCGTATGCCAATGCTTTTCAAAAACACAATAGTAAATATGAAATATGTGATTTCATATTATAAACATGAAAACCCAATACCATGCATGTATATATATATATCTATATATATGCATAGAAACCAAAACTTATGTATATATATATGACTATATATATTATATATATATATATATATATACTGAAGAAACAAATAAATGTGTGTGTATAGATATTGAGCTTAACGTATTAAACACACATAATATAAACCTATACTAAATTACCCAAGCTTGATCTTGATCTTCATTGTAGCTCAACTTGGTACACGTGCGGATGAAGCTAAACTTGGATCTTGAATTTGAATTGTACGATGTTTCACTCCACAATTCCGCCAACCTCCATTTGATATGATCGTGTAGGCTTAATCCATCCAACCTCCAACAACGTTGTTTGTCTACAATATATAAGAATATACAAACACTAGACAAACAACATTAGTAGTAAATTATTTGTTAAACATCATCAAAACAAAGAGGCCAACAGTTTTATGATCTCTTTATCAAGAATCTGACTTAGGCATCGGATGAGTGTTGATGGATAGCCCACCATCGTCAATGTGACACTTTTTCTGTGATTTCGGGTTAAGCCGATCAGACTCAACTATATCTAGGCGCGAGACCTACTTCCATCATCTAAGCTAATCGACAGACCCTCATTGACCAAGTCTAATCTCACGACGTAATCTTGTAATTTGATTTCATGTATTAACAAAGAGCTAGATTAGTAGTTACCTATCCATATATTTTAGAGGCCGAAGTGTTATTGGGTCTTTCAATTCTCACAAGTTGTTTTAAATTAGTCTCCTTATTTGCTACTTAAGACTAGTTTGGTATTGTCGGAGCTTTTAGTAAGCTGCTCATGCAAGCAATTTATAGAAGTAACTTATATCTATTCAAAATAGTTATTCGATAGCAATATATCAGATGCTCTTTAAAAAAATATTTAAAATATTAGGTAAACTTATGCTTAAAATCATTATAAATGAAAATGACCATAATTATCATTATAAAGGAAGAGCAAGAGAGAAGATTGTTTAGGGCTTATAAGATATAATATTGTCAGGTAAAGAGTATGGATGATATAAAAACCATAAAAAATAGCAGCTACTTATAAAACCATTCTCTAATTGCTTCTAAAACCAACCTCTTAAGCATAAAAAAATAAGCAGAAACAGTCTGGGGGAAAAAAAATCAAAGTGGCACTTGTAGTCTTTTGGAGGGAAGGGTCCCTTTTCTATGAGTTGAAACCTAAGTCTACGCAGCAGTAGAAATTTGTTGCTAGCAAGATTCTAGGTGTGTTGTTCTGACACCATCTTAACGAAATCCTTCTAACCATTATACCAAAACTCCGAAATTATGTTGAGGGCTGGTGATTACATTTTTATATTCTAACAAGAATCGAGGGGACTTAATAGTAATTTGAATAAATTGAGAGACCAATTTCAAAACCTGAAGGGTCTAAGGGGCAAACACCGAAAGAAAAAAAAAGAACCCATCAAATTTTTTTTTTAACCCTATATTATAAGAAGTGAAATTATTGTGGGGGAATGAAGTGAACTGTTCCGTGGTGCTGTGAAAGCTGACAGGGGAAAAGGATTTGAGATGGAAAATGAGGGGATGATGCGAAGCGACAGGGAGGGAGGGAGACAGAGGAAGAGGGGCACAGAGTATCAATCGCTTCCGGTCCCTGCGACTCATAATCATTATATTCCACCACGGCTCTTCTTACCCCCCCCACACCCCCCGCAACCCCACTTATTTTTTGTCCTCTTTTGATCTCTCTCTCTCTCTCTCTCTCTCTCGCTGTCGGGTCCTGTGAAAATGAAGGCCCATCTGTTGCACGTTATGTTTACCGTATAAGCCGCCCAAATTTTGATATTATGAAGGATAAACTAAACACTACTAGATTAACGAATTAGCTCTTAACAATTGCATGGGGGCCTTTATATTAATGAATATAAAAACTAGGCCCATTAGGATTCCAAAGGGAGTCTCGAACCCCTCTGGGTTGGCCGACATAGAGCCGTTGGGCTTGATCCGATCATGATCGAATACCAACGACATCAGTTAAGCTCTGCTAAAAGCCCAAGTAAGAGCTCGACCTTGAAGTCCAAAAATTGAGCCCAAGCTCAAATCATGCGCGAATGAGCACTAAATGAAGTGGACTAGCTTCCAAGTTCAGCGATGGAGCTCCTCTTCTCCTCTCTCCTCCTCTTTCTTCTCGGTCCCATCGCTTCGATCGCGAGAGGCGGTGACCGGATCCCGAACCCATCAGGTTCTTGAATCCTGTCTCTTCGATCTCAGTAACAAGTCTCTCCGCGATCTCACGGATCCCTTTTAACATTTTCTTGAAAGCTTAGCAGGTTTTTGGGATCGGAGCGGTGAGTTCTCAGCTCGAAGCTTGTTGCAGGATCACAAGCCGCAGGAGCTGTATGTATTGAACTGAAGGGTTTTTTTTTCGATATTATTCCCTTTAAATTTTAATGTTCTGGAATTAGTCCCTCGAATCATGGAGATTGCTATTAGCCTCCCCGAATTCTTGTATCTTGTTATTGCTAATCTTGAGAGGAGGGATTACTAGCAATTTCAATGATCTGAGGGACTAGTTTTGCAACAGCTTATAAGATTTTGGGACCTAAGAGGAGCAATGCCAATGATTCGAGCGTCTGATTTCAAAATGTTAAAGATTTAAGGGACTGCTATCGACAAAACCCCCTAAACTGAGATCTCTTTGCTAATCATGAGCTTATGAAGATTTAATGTAATGATTATTAGTGTTGGTTCAATTTGATTGCAGAGAAGCTTTGGCTGATGGATACATGAGCAATTCAGAACTCGAGAAGGCGATTGAGGAGTTTGGAAAGAGATGTGCGCACATTTCTAGGGTATACAGGTACGTTTTATTGTAGGACTAATTGAACTTTAATATGCTAAAGTTTCACTTGTTTTGGATTTTGGTACCCTGAAGTAACTTCAAATTTACCCGAAACGAGAGTTTCATGACTTTTAACTCTAATACCTTTTGCTGTATAAGAGCATCTCCAATAGCTTCCCCAAAATTTTCTCCAAAATGGAGAAACAAAAGTCATATTCTCTAAATTATTTTTGTTCCAACTCCAACAGCTTCCCCATTTTGAAAAATCGCATTTATTACAATAATAAAGCTCTCCCCAAAAATTTGGAGAATGCTGCAGATTTGGGGAAGGCTCCCTATTTTTTCTCCTTCTTCCCTATTTTGGGGAATGGGATGGGGAATCTGTTGGACCAAAAAAAAGCTCTATATTCCCCAAAATTGAGTATTTCAAGAAGATGAGGAAGCTGTTGGAGATGCTCTAACAATTCAGATGGCTTCACGTTGTTATCACATGAAAAGAAATCCCCCTAGTCCCTTTCTTCCTACTTCAGTTAGTTAAACCTAAATCCATTGGAATTAAAAGGATTAATTTAAAATTTCACCTTCCCAAGCACAAACGACTTAAATTATTAAACTGTAGCAAAGACGTCCATTGTTAGACAATATTCATGATCAAACAGAATCCTGAACGGGGATTTAATGGAAGGTGTCAACCTTAAAAGTGGTGAAACTTTTAGAGGTACTATTTTGGTAAATTTAATTTTGAGGAAGGCATTAAGTTACAACTACCCCCTTTATGTTATTTCATGCTTTTATTTTTCTGAGATCTATAGCTGATTTTTGTTAATTTCTCTCTTTGAGGGGTTGCTGAAATGTTCTACCAGCATTGGCAAGAGTGTAAAAGGGTTCCCATTGGTAAGAATATAATGCATTGCAAACAACACTTAGTTGGTTCTTTGAATAGTTACTGAGTGTTTAGATTACTTTTTTTAGTTGGTGATTGAAATTTCTGACAAGCCCGGGAAGGATGAGGCTGAACCCGCATTCAAGGTCAGTGATGATTTCCTGTATTTTTTTCAAGTTTTAGGTACATCATGGTTAGGAGATCTGAATCCTGATACATGCTTTCCTCTTTCTTTGATCTGAATCCTGATACATGCTTTCCTCTTTCTTTTTTTTGGTTATGCTTACTGCCAATAATAAATACAAGGGTAATATGTGTATTGGAGAGGCTGGAATAGGAAATGGGTGCATACTTAAAGATACAAGGTAACTTCAATTTGATAAAAATGAGACAGTCCGAGCAATGTTGTGGCAGAGAGAAGCAGTAAGCTTGTAGTTGAAGTAGCGGTTAGTGCTAGTTCTAGACCTAAATTAAGATGGATTGACAAAGTTAAAAGTGGAAGCTTAGTCACGGTCAAAAGAAAAGGATGAACCAGCAACTTAGGATCTCTAAGGTCACTTAAAGGAAAAGGAAGAAATGGTAGCATAGGATCTCAATGTCACTCAAAGGAAGGATGACCAAAGTTGAGGATTCACTTAATATCATAAAGCTAAGTTTTTCTTTCAATTTCTCCGTGTTTAATTCATCATGGCAAAAACTACGTAGGTTTCTTTAAGAGTTGGGACACGCCTGAGCTAGGCACATTGTTTCGTCTTTCAAAGAGGGCCCTTGATTGAAAAGCAAACTTGTCATACAACTAT